ATACTCAAATATCGTCCGAAGCTGGGATGCCCCGAGAAAGGCTTTCTTTCTTTCTTTTTCATATATATATATATATAAAATAAGAACATCGCACTATCGTGCCACGTGCTCCCCGCGCCCCATCCCTATTTCCAACCTATGTTCAACGAACCGCGATATCAACATTCCACTTCTTGTTTTACATTTAAAATTCACGAATTTCGATCCGCTGTCGTGCTTCGATCGTTCGCCAACACCGATCCACGGGCTCCTCGTACATTCCTCACTGAAACCGAGACGGTCTCGTCTCGACGTTAACGAGGCCGAGGACAATCTAATACGATCACCGAAAAATCTCGACACAGCCAAACGAGAAACGGAAACTTTTGGTCCTTCGAGTTCGAATGAGATTAACGTCGATGCACTGGTCGACATTCCGTGACATGCTCCGCGATTTCGAGCTGTTCCAACGCCATAGAGGCCACGGAGAGCACGGCGCAGCGGTCTAGCTTTCTTTATCCTCCTTCGAAATTGTATTTGGTGATACGTATCTGAATACTGACTTCGTGTGATGCAGCGTTTACATATAATACAATTAGTATCCATTACGTATAGGGTGTACATGCGTGTATGTGTGATCGATTTCCTTTCCATCTTTATCTTTCTTTGCCTTTTTCCCTTTTCCTTTCTCCCTTTCCTTTTCCGTTCTCACGTTCCTTGGCTTCTTTTTCTTTCTTCCTGTCTCTGGTTTCGCGTTCAAACGTATATTACATAGATTCCTTTACCGTGCAAAGCGTTGGCCGGCAGTCACTCGGACAACAGTTTCTGTAACAGTGACGACTGGTTCACCTTCGGATCACCTCGAGCCACTTCCTCCATAGAAGTCTGCAAAATGAAATCCGTCTGATTAGTCTACGTGTCTTGCTTCCTATTCGCTATTGTGATAACAGATTGAAGATAGCGGCAACCAGTTTTTTTCTTTTTTTTTTTTTTCTTTTTTTTTCTTCTTTCTTTGTCATTTTTAAGATTGCTGATTAATTCAGAATGTAGAGAAAATTGGACAGAGTACTGTGTGACGAGAATTATGAGGATGATGATGTACTGAATTGCGTGAGTCATGTATTCTTATTGCATAATGCAAGCTTGTTGCGCATGTGCTACATGGTAAGATGTAGGATGTAAAATAGTTATTCCACTTTGCGCTTGCAAGAAGTTTGACTTTAGGATGTTACGTGCGTTGCATAATGGAGTCTTTTGGACCTGAATGTTTCGCGCGAAAGTATAATAAAGTGAAGGATACTTCGTGTACGTATAAAGGTAAAATTTCGAATAGATCGTCTCGCGTGAAACGGAGGAAAGTAAGTGTATAGTAAGTCAACTTGCTAAGAGATTCGTGTCAATTTTACAACACCATTCCGGGTGTATCGTGAAACTTGAATTATTGTAAATTATTACAGAGTTAAATCGTTAACCGGCAACTGATCAATTCGCGTAGTATCGACGACAGGTAAGTAGTCTGTCCAAAAGCACCTACATTCTGAGTATCTATTAAAACCCGAGATCGTGACACTACGTATTCAAAACTAATGCGTTTCTGTTTAGTATTCGCGAGTACTCAAAAATTTTGCGACCCACTCAAATCGAAAACTTAGTGTAATATTATTAAAACAATTTTTCATACAAACGTCAAACATATTCACTTATTTTTAACTCTGGAATCGAATATCATAGTAATATTGGCAGTGAATGTAACGCTATCTCTTCTTCCAAACAATATTCAATTTACTCTCGACAAGGAACCGAGTACGGTGTCTCAAACTTTTTGAGTACTCCTTTTCTTCTAAAAAGCACAAGATAAACGAAAAAACAAAAAAAAAATCTCGTCTAGTTCTCGACGTGAAATCGATCGATATCGGTCTGGTAGAATGCTCCTGCGGAGGCAAACGCAAAGTCAAAACTCAAAAAGAAAACTGTACTGAAGCCACATATGTTCGCTATACATCCAAAGTTCCAATGCACACCAAAGGCCGCTAGTCTAATGACGTTAAAAAAAAAATTGAAAAAATAAAATAAAATAAAATAAAAAAAGAAAAATAAACGAAGAAGAGAAAGAAAGATTTGTTTTGGCTGTTCGCGAATCGACGATACTCGAAGAGAAGAGGCCACAAACGAGGAAAGAAACGGAGCTATTTTATTTCTGTCTTACTTTCTGTCTTCTCTTTCTTTTTCTATAGAAAAGCAGTTACTTTACGAAACGTTAAAAAAGCTACACTGAACTTATCGCGAATCGTCGAAGAATTGCTAGTTTCGATCTTTCGACTAATATACAAATAAAACCAACAGGCTTCTGCGGACCCAGTACTCGATTAATTAACCAATCTTCGATAACAAAAATGATTAAACCGATTATTTGAATCAATCGTTGGCCGTTAAACCGTATCAACGCGTTCAACTGACAGTAGAGATCAGTCATGAAAATCTACTCGTGATTTATCTTAATTTCATCGTGATAATTTAAGGTAAAATAGCCGAGAACCTCTAGAAAAGAAATATTGCATCTACAACAGCGATAATGATGTTAAAAAATTTAGTTGACATTTATTTCAATATTTTATTCGAAAATTCAATGCCCGTTTCTCTTTATTTACATAATTTTATCATATTCGACATGAACGCGTAGCAAATACCAATTTCTAGAATACACAAAGGAAATAATAATTTCTCGTTATATTTCTCTGTTGATATTTCGCTAAATAAGATAATTAAAATTGAAATAACTCGAACCGATCGTCGCACGGATCGGAAAAATTCGGCTAAAATTACTATCGCGTTGAACGCGTTAATTTAACACGCGATTAAAATTGCTATTATCCGAGCGAAAATTACAGGCAGCTACTTCGCATTGCATTAAAGAAGGTAAGTTGGAATTTAATTAATAGAATGAATATTCGCGACTGGCCTTCGGAGGCTTCTGCGTTCTCTTTGACTCACTTCCGGTCTCGTCGGCGTGAAACTTAAAACGCGACGATAGTTGCGCCTCATGCAACGAGAGCAATCAGCATACGAGAGAGAAATAGTAATAAGGAGCTACGCGCTTAGATGTCCATTTGGCTCGCTGTGAAAAAGCATTACAATACTAAATGTACGTTACACGATACAACAATGGCAGTGTGATTAATATTGATTACTTCGAATGAGCTGAAGCTTACGGCACCATCACCCTGTAGAATAAAGAGGAAACAACGTGTCTCCGCACCGATCGTATTTGCGCTTAGGAACATCGACCAACAAACTAGACGTTCCCTTTCTCGTATAACACAGCAGCGTTTGAAGAAATAAAAAAAAAAGAATAGAAATGTCAGATCGGGTATATAAACATCTTCAACCCGTATCGTCTTGTTACCTGAATACTATCTTTTTTCCTAAGAAGAGAAGAAAAGAAGAGAAATATTTTCCGACGTTTCTTTCAGAAAAGTATCAAAGCTTTAACACTTTCCCTGGACTCGTAATGACAAAAATTTCAAGTTACGAGAATTTCTATTGAATCGATAAAAAGTTGTATTACGAGTAAAAGAAATTTTGCAAAAAGGATCCAAGTACCATTGAAGTTGAATAAAAAAATGTATTTTCCAATTATAATTTTCTTTTTGCTGCGATTTAAAGGTATCGAATGAAGTCGCAAGGAACAATAGCGAAGATGAAAAATTCTTTTTTCAAATATAGCATCGTGTTGGTATTAAATAAATTTTCTAAAGTCATTACGAAGTAGATACTCCTAGCCATAAAATAGATACGTATTAACACGTGTTAATTAATCGTAAAAAAAAAACAAAAATGAAAAGCCTGGAATTAAATAAAATAGTAAATATTGTATCTACACGAGTAAATTTAAAAAATGTAGCTATCCCAGCGTATCTTTTTTAATTTGAAAAAATTATACGAATTTACAAGAGTATCTGAACGGAATATCTGCATAGCTTTGCATTGCATTAGTCTAACACGCGAACAAGAAGTATCTGAATGGTTACTAGCAGTTAATACAATCGAGGAGAATAGACATTAGTTTTATGCATAAGAATGATATGACACTGGATCGTATGAAACGTTAACGAGCGTAATTAAAGACTTTCCAGTAATTTCTCGATACTACTTCTCTCGTTTTGCAACAATGATATTAGTCGTACTGACACAGTTATATAAAGAGGCGAAGGTTGCATTTCCCAGCCTCGCGAATTGCCACTGAGTGTAAAACTTGAAATAAACCGTGTGTCGTGAATCGAGAATTTAAGTAATAAAAAAACCAGTTGAATCTTAGACCGCAATTTTTCTGCGTAATTTCCGGGAACATCGGTATCGTTAAGCTCGATAACCATAATTACCCTGATTAACCAACCCTTTTACAGAGATACTGTTCGAATTTTTTAACTATCGTTCCCTTTACCCAAAAATTAATTATTTCGCCAAGAATTCTAACAAAGTTTGAATAATTCTACTTTTATATTCTTTCCATTCCACGCGACTACGCGTTTAATTCCAATCCAATGAAAGTAGTGAAAAAAATTTTGTTCAAATTGGATCGTAACCGAGGTATATTCGGGAAAGAGATACGTATAGAAAGAAATACGAAATACCAATTTTACTCCGATACTTGCACTCCAAATAACTCATGCCTCGACTACGATTGCGTCTCTAAACGCAACGGCAACGAGAAACGAAAAGGGAAAGTAGAGAAATAAAAAAAAAAAAAAAATACAAAAAAAGAATATATAAAAATAAACACCGTAGAGAAGGAAAGTTATGAACCGCGGCTGATCGCGTTCTGGCTAGACAAACAAGCTAACTCGGTGTTATCCTTTGTACGACCACGCAGCTGTCAATCGTACAAAGTCAATATAACCGTGTATATCCGTGAACATCAGAGGACAGATGGTCTCTCTCTGGCCGTGGAAAGTCAAAATACCCTTCACTCTCGTTCGGATCGGAGAGGAAGAAACGATGTTAAAAAGGAGAGAAAAAGAAAAGAAAAAAAAAAAAAGGTGAAAAAACGACGGAGAAAGAATAAAAGAGATAGAGAGACACAAAGGTGGCCTGAAAAATACCATTTCACGATGCAAAACAGATAGATCTCGACTTAATGTAATACGTAGCCTCGGCGTCAACGATCCAGATATGCACACGTATCCTTACGTCTACTGAACGCACGTACGCACTAGAATTAAATAATTAAATAAACGTAACAACGTTCAAAGTGACGCATGCAAAGAGAGAGAGAGAGAGAGCGCTAAAATACCCCCTACAAGTTTTACGCTCAGTGCGTAGAGAAAAAAAAAAGTACTCATTAAACATGTCGTGCACAATAAGTTCTGAAGCCAAGCGAAGAAGGGAAGACATAGCATACAAAATCAGATGAAAGTAAATTTGTAAAAAAGAAAAAAAATATTGTATATATATATATAAAGAGAGAGATAAATAAATAAGTGTATATGTATATATATGTATATATATAATATGTATACGTAAAAGTAATTGTCGGAAGGGTCTTACCCTGGAGGACGAGGGGGCACTTCCGGCACTCCCAATGGCCCAGCTCTTGGCAGGGCCATCGCTAACCACAGCCTCACCTAGTTAGGACATTGTAACAGTAGGCGTTACCACCAATCTTTCATTAGAGATAATGCGTTTTCTTACAAGAAGCGGACGTATTCGTGTTCGTGTGTAGGGCACACACCTTTCAATCCTGTACATATATGTAGATAGGCACACACATAGCTATACTTGTTCTCACGCACACGAGAGAGATACGGGCTATCGGGATCATCATCGCGTTTCTTCGTCACCACCGTCGATTTTCGCGTAGTCTCAAGGGGCCATTGTGCCCCGATCTGGTAGCCGAATCCGATCGTGAAAAGCCATAGTGCCGTTTTCAAACCGTCGATAAATTCGCGTGTCGGTTGTACACTTACGAGAGCGAGAGACAATGACCATAGAAAAGGCCGAGTGAATTAGCACTGGATCGAATCGAATGCGTTTTCGAATGGTACTTTTCAGCTGGTCGCGATCAGACGGTTCAGAAGATTCTCGCGAGCAATGCCAACGAAACGCTGTGCGTTCGTTCCTGCGCGCGAATTTTGCAAAACGGCGGAATTTGAAGGACAATGACGGTAAAATCGACAATAAAGTCGGTAAAATCGGTAATAAAGGCAACAAAATGACACGTGACAACGATTGACAAACGTGAAGCTACGTGGCTCGATACTCTAGACGAAAAAGCAGTTCTATTGGTACCATTTACTGCTGAATCGTGATTCGTCCCTCCAACGACAGATTTTATCTACACGGTTTCCTAGGAATTTACTTCGGCAAGGTCGAGGTTCAGATGATACGAGGATATATATACGTGTATTTAAGTTAGATCGTCTTTTTCACAATATCGAGAACGTGATATCCTTGTGACGAAAAATCTCACGGACTAGCACGAAATTCGTCGCAGTGTAATCAAATGGTACGTATATAAATCAAGCGAGAGTTTATGTCAAATATAATATGCAGGATCCCTGTAATACTTTTTCACAGCTTCCAGCATGTTACATGCGCTATTTACAACGTACAGAAATTGCGATTGAAAATCCGTGAACAATGTGCAGCGGAACGTAAAATTCAACTTCTTCGATTTTGTTAGTAACGAGGAACCAATGAAGATCGTTAAACGACTCGAAAAAAATTCCTCCATGTCGTATCATGATCAGGCGAAATCAGAATATTCGAATTAATCGCGTGTTTTATCAATTAATCGAATTGATCTTCGGAACTTTTGAAAAGCAAGAAAGAAACGAAATCGAAACTAATTTCTTTTCCGTCCCTCTTTCACAAGCTGTTCGACTAACCCTCTCGACTGACACACCACTTTCAAAAGGGAAAACGAATCTCCTCTTTCCACGGACGTACCTGTAGAAGACATTTCGAACGTCAGACCGAGTGCTTCGAGATCGTCCTGAGATACTTGACCAGAAAGGTTGTTTTGAATGTTGTTAGGTACCCTTTGCTGTTGCTGCTGTTGCGTTCGTGCGCCAACGATCGCTCTCAATTCTTGCCTCACGAACTCCGAAGTGCTGCTAGCGTTTCCTGTGACAAAACGAAACGAATTCGTCAGATCTTTTTGACACACGTCACGAACGAGCCACGATCTTCCTTTTCCCTTTATCTTTTCTATTCATATCCTGTCCTTTTATCGTCGTTATTTTTCTCTCTTTAATCGGTAAATCGATGGTAAACGTACCACGAGTGGTTACTTATAGATCGTGTATTATTGTGCAAGCCATAACGTAAAAGTTAGTCAAAGGTAACAGGATGAATGCTTTATTACAAAATGCGGTATTTACAATATTGCGTTGACATAGGTTCGATAAATGACTTATCCTGTAACAAATCGATACCTGCGGCCCATCCGTTCATGGATATTTATCATGACTTTCAAGCACGATGAAGTTCTTGGTGGAAAGAGAGATAGTAAGGAAAATTTAAATTTAAAAAAAAAAAAAATTAGAAATAAAAGTGCTATCAGGAGACGATAATTCCTAGCCTTCGTTCGCTAGAGGAGCACCGTAACGAAAGCTTTTGGCTTCTTTCCGTCTCATTTTTTCTTTCTTTTTTCTTTTTTCTCCGTTTGCTTTCTGTAAGATAACATTTATAAGACAGAGCACCAACAAACATTTAACGTAAATTGTGCTCGACGATGCTTAGTAACATTGCGTTTAGTGACAATGATTAATCACAAAAGCTCGATGCACTGTACATGAGAATGCGTCGTTGTTAGTAATATCTTCTTAGTTTCGTTATTTAAGACATACGACCGGTTCTGAAAACCGTGGACTCACACATTTTTTAATTCTACTGTACGGATGAACGTTGAACGGAAATTGGAGAATGATTAAAGTGATCAAGTGCATTAGTTTTTTTTTTCTAAGTACAATTCGTTTTGCGTGCAATTTAATGGCAAACGAGACTATACTCATCGACATGGTCGATATTTTCCGGTGGTTCACTTAACAATTGTTACGAGTTATTGAAAAAAAAAAAAGAAATAATTTTAAGACTTATCCTATGTATTTGTTCTATCTTCGTAAAAGAAATAAGAATGAGAAATATTGGCGATGCATTCGTATTTATAAAGTACGCATACTCGAACATAACGAAGTAATTTCTATCCTATAATGCTTAAATTTGATTGGAAATTAAGAACAATAAAGACTATTTCGAACCGAGGCAAACAAACGTAAATAACCGTCTGCATTAATCATGCTCCAATTGTAAAATAACGCAACATATAACGGATGCTACAAACACGTAGAAAATAATTCGTACGTATGAATAAAAATTGCAAATGAAACGAAGATTGATGGAAAACATAAACAGAAGGAAAACGAAACAGCGTGATAATAACAAGCATACAAAATTGAACGTAAACAATTGAAAATTATGAGTAATGATTTTCTAAAGTCAATATAAATTACACCGATATATGCGAAATTAATTTACGCGATAATATGCTTCCATAACGATGGAAATGAAATACTTTCACGATTTAGCAAAATCAACTGAAAAATAATAGAGATCTGCTTTCGACTTTTAATCAAAAGTCGCTATTAATTAAATAAAACTTCGTTGAACGTTGAATAAAATCTATAAACGGTAAAAATCAACTATTCAATGAAAGAAGAAAAAAAATGAGGAAACATTTCACATTTTAAACTCTACGAATGACATACTGACTCAGCGACAAGAATGGTGCAAGCAATTCGCTTTTACACGTTATCGTTGGTATCATTTCTAATTTCACTAATACAAGAAATCCAATCTTACGATATGGAGATAGCAGTAAGTATATATTAGTTATAACACAGATTTCATATATGTGGTGCAAGTGATAGTGACGCTAATTTACGTGGTCCGGAAGTGCCGGAGGTAATCACTAAATAGTGCAAGTACGTTCTGAACCGGAAATGGGCAAATCAGCATTCAAAATGCGATTTCCAACAATTGGAAAATTTACATACTAAAGCGCAATGCTTTTATTTGCAAAATAAACTTCTCGATATATTTAAAAATAATGATTTAAACCAATGCTATTAACGTACGACTGATTTATATGACGAAAATTAAACACTAGTTTGCAATATTAATAACAATATTATATTAATATTGTTATTTATTAATACAATACAATAATACAATTAATACAATATTAACCCTTTGCACTCGAAAGGTGAGCTTCAGTCACGATTTCATAAAATTTGGAAGATCGATATTAATTAATATATCAAATTTAATGCAATGTAACAGTGTGCGAGGTATCGAAATCAAATAATTCTACAATTCTATTATCATACAATTCTTTATTTACTGCTCAAAAAAGTATCGTCAGCTTTTTAGTAGAGAATCTTTGAATTTCTACTCTTCTCTAGCCAAAAGTCATCGAGTGCAAAGGGTTAATACTTGTATCATAAATTTAGAAATCATTCGTCCATAGCTTCTATTATTAATATAATGAAAAATCAAATTAAAATCACTGCTTTCGTTACTCGCTATATTTTTCCTATCGATATTGTCGCTGTTCTATTTTTCCTAAGGGCCATCTTTTAAATAGCTCTACAGCGTTATAATGAATTTTATAAAATAACTTGTATACGATTTGCCCGCTTCCGTTTCCGGTCCACCTTAAACAGTACGGTGATTTTAACGCATACGAGTCACAAGAGAGGTACCTAAAAAGATATGATACAAAGGGCAGTCTTTCCTACGTGACTTATCTACTATGTCATTACATATAAGTACATCAGTGTCTACAATCACCATAGGAAAGTGTAGTCTCTATATCGCTAAAAAAAAAAAAAGGAAGTAGAGTGCACAGTGGAACATCATGTTTGTATCGCTGGAATTAGTGTGAGAAGGGGTGTATCACGTAAATGGGGATGAATATGTACTATGTTACATCACGATTCTTGAAAACACAGATGAATCGATTTGCTCCCAGAGACACGAGGCGTTTTATCACGTTTTTACATAATGTATGTGTTCCAACGAACGAACATTCAACAAAATTCTTGGTATGGAAAGATCCAATTATTTTGCTTCGTTAGGATCACGTGTGGATTTGTTATTCACAAAATGAAAGGATCATCTGATGAGAGTATGAAATTGTTCGCGTCAGTTTACCGTCAAAGACAGCTGTTCCTTTCTTCCTATTAATTACGTTGAAAAAATTCGAATACGTCACTCATATAAATGTTCAATTATTTATTCCTAATTATAAATATTTAAACAGTAAAGGGCACTAAACGTGATTCATTTTTAAGCGAAATAAAGTTTCACTTCCTATAAGCGCAACGTGAATAATTCATAACGCGAATTGTATATATTCCGTTAATAAGACAACAACGATTTAAGCATTTTACTTTCTCGAGAATTTAAATTTCCGAAAATTTACGGAATATAAAAATGATTACAAGAGTAACTGTGTCTATGCGTCATTAAATTGTAAAATAAATAAAACTGGAATAAGCAACGTACGCGTATCTTCGCAACGTAATCGAAGAAACAAGAAGAGGAGAGTGTCAGCAGCGTTCTTCCATTCGCAATTTCATACTACTAATGGTGAATGAAGAATACATTCCACGGGTATGGTTACGTCGATAGCCGGTTCTCAAACTTATGAACAAAAGCACCATGCAACATTTAACGCTATTTCGATATAGGATACGTTACTTTGCGTTGGTCTCTCGTTAGGTATACGATCGTAGGAAAAGAGAAATGAAAGAGAGAATTATGAAGATGATCCGCTAACTACCAGAACCACGAGAAAACAGAAAGCTCGAATTTGAGTAAAACGCGAGGAAATAGTGGAAAAGATGCAAAAGACAATGAGTCGGCTGTTTCTTCGAATGTCACGAGTCACAGGAGTACTATCCAACAACGGTGGTTCAAGCATGATTCTATCGCTTCAATTGCATCTAGCAAGCAGGAAT